TTTAATATATCTGCTTAAAATAAACAAAAATGCTTACAATTGTCAACTTACAGACTGACCTCGATCATGCATTGTTACACAATGAAAATGTCCCTTGTTGTTTTCTATTTCGAGGTGTAAAAATATGGTGTGTGCATGTCGAATCGTGCAATGGAGAAATAATCGGACACGACTAAGATCATAATTTTTCTCGACGCGTTTTCCACTTTCGCTATCTAAACTTGTATAACATCGCAACCACACCTTTGAAAGATATACGTATCGCCTAGATTCAGGTCCGTAACAAATCAGTTTATTTTTATAAACATTTTCCTTTCAATGTCTTAAAAAAGATTATAAGATAACCCTATTTAACAATATATCAAGGTGTTTGGGGGAAGAATCTGTTAGCAGACATTTACTGGAATCTAAAGATAGACACAAATAAAGCACATAAAAAAGCGATTCGAAGCTCATTCCGGGAACAACGTAAGCGTTCTCGTCTGAATTTAGATTACTACGTTTATGCTAAGAGAAGCGAAATGATTTGTTGAAGACTTTCAAAAGTTTTTTTTTAATCTTGTTTTTGTACAATCACGCAAAACCGAGAGGATGTTAGGCAGAAAGGTAGGAAGACAAAACAAAGAGGCAGTCTGACAGTCAGTGGACATTTAGACAGAGGGTGGCAGAAAAACAGACAGATAGAAACATTTAGTCATTTAGTCAGACTGGAAGATAGACAAAATTACCGTAAGAAAGGCAGGATGTCAGCAACAATTTTTATAATGTATTTTGTTGTTTGAAATAACTGAAAGTTTGACAGGAAGGAAATAATTTATAAACATACTGGTTCGACAAATTGTAAAGTATTAGATTTAACTACTATCTACCATAAATTAAAACTTTTAATATTTTTGGAAGCCTTCCTCAAATTTCAAGTACGACCCTGCCAATTTTACCAATTCAGCTTCAACCTCGATAGCTGACTCACTGCGGATAAATTTGTGTGTAAGTTTAGCTTTATGGGAAAACATTAAAATTTATGTCGAATATTTTATCCAAATGCAGACGTTCTCTGTCTTATAATTAATAAGTAGGTTTATTGCCGGCTACACCTTTTTTTGGGCGACAAGGTTGCTTTGTTCTAGATATTCGCAAAAGACAAATTTTCAGTCTGCACATAATTTTTAGAATCTGAATCGAAATTTGCATGTTCCACCTATCAAGCCTTTGAAAGAAATATGTGTACTATATCTACATGGTAACACATAAACACAAATGAACATGCATAATAAATTTCAGTGTGCCCACGCTTCATCTGAAAATTTTCAATTATCGACCTCCCTTATAAATCTCTTAAAAACATCACTGTTTCGAGCATGATGAAATTAGAGTTGACAACTTTTTAGCTAAAAACTCGGAACAAAGGCAAACAATTAAGGACATTTTTTATTTGTCTTATGAAACAACCGAAACAATATATATTTTTTTGGTACCATAAAATAGGCAATAACTCGAAAAAAATATAAAGACAATATTATAAAATAAAAATATGTACGTTGTTTGGATTAAATTGAGATTAACTAAAAATATAAAAATGTAAATATTAAAGCATACGTAACAAACTAAACAAGAATACGAAAGGATTATTATGCATCTACTTTTTTACGTTAAATGCAAACATACAAACGTCGTGTACACAAGATCGAGAATCTGGCTGTTTTTTCTCAGTGCGCGGTTGCCGGATTGTGAAAAAATATTGAAAATTAAGGAGATTTGATGTCGTGTAAGAAATCATGACAGGACGCAAGACAATTGATAAAAAATTAATTCAAATGGTGGACGTCATGGTAATGGACATGAAACTCGTTATCTGTAAATTGAATCGATTTAGTCAATTTATTAGTCAGTCACAATTCTGTTTGAAAGATAAACAAAAACAGTTTTTTTTACTTATTTTCAGGATTTTTGTACACACTGTATATTAAGCTCGGTAAAATAAGACTATATATTATAAATCCAAGACACTTTCATAAAAAAATTTGCATTAAGAAATTCGTTCTATTTTTAGCTCAACACGGAAACTGACTGAACTATATGAAGAAATTTTAACTTCAACTTAATAATCAAGTTACAAGTTTACTACCAACAGCAGTTTTCGAAAGAACTTCATTTAATTAAAAGTTAACTATTTCATAGCTGCTTCAATAAAAAAATATTGTGTTTTATTTATCTCCAAGTGTGAAATAATCTAATGTAAAACGTAACAACTGTTGGTTAAATTTTTAAACTTGTCTGGCTACAAAATAAATGTCTTTCCATGCTTGTTATCATAACTTAAATAACATAATATAAAATCTGCTCTTGAAAAACTGTTTTCAATAACAAGATTTCAGATTAATTGGCAAAGTCCAAATCTCCATTGACTGGACTGTTCATTTCCATAAATTTACTATTAATATTTCACAATGTTCGCGTTTCCTGAAATTTACCGGTCTACAGAAAAAAGAAGTAAGTTAATTACATAAGTTATAGGTAGTCGTAATATAAAAATTATATAAACGTGGAAAGATTTGTACAAAAATTAACAAGGCGGTCCGACCACACCTTTCATAACGATATTTTGCAGCAAGCCATATTTTAGTACTTTTCGCTTTTCTTCAACAAAAAATAAAATAACTGACAATTTTTATTTGGAGATTACCTACTTATTTTATATATAATGTTTTTCGTACACAACAACGATTGTTTATTCGAATTTTCTACTTATAGCTTACAGATAATTTTCATATTCGGAAAATAACATGGTAAAATACTAGTGATATAAATAATAAATAATATTTATATGTAGTTAATGTTAATGATATCTAATATTAAGCAAACATTTGTTGAGTATATGAAATATTTTAAGCCGGCTCCAAGTTCACACTTCCCAATTGCTTGTATGTCAACTGCTTGTTTACACGTGCCATTTTTCACGAATTGAGAGAGTAATATACCGTAGAAATTATTTGAAGTGTTGGAAGAGGCGACATCTAATAACATTCACTAAACAGTATCCGTTTGTACAGCTTTGGCGAATATTTGGCAAGTGAAGACAAGCTGCAATGTACCGATATGCACCATGCATACAGTACGGTATTTATTTAGGATTGACAAATATGTGTACTCTGGCAAATCTACACACACATTGCATTAGTTTGCACTTGGCTAATATTTGGCAAGTGACCAAATCATCTGGAGCCAGCTTTAATAGCAAGCCAGATGATTGTAAAAGGACCTGTAAAGCCGTCTCTAGGTGATGCGGTAACTTGTCAAATGTCGTATCGTGTGGATGTTGCATGTGGACACATTCGAAAGCATGTCTTCACTTGCCAAAGCTATACAAAAAAATGCGAGCGCTATAAAATAGGTTTTTTAAAAAGTTATATATGTATATATTTTATTTAGTATTATCAATGTGTTATTTGGGCCTGTTTAAAAAAAAGAATTAAATAGCAATTTTGCTACGTCTAACATTAGCAAAACCCGTTGAAATCTTGCAAAATATTACTTGTTACAAAATAATATAAACCAATAACGAACGTATGTTAAGACAGCTACTTTTACAAAAACATTAAATAAAATATAAAGAACATGTATATTTATAATTACACAACATTATATTCAGTTGTCCTTTAACATAACAGGTGGTGTATTTATGAGTAATATACCTATATATTATTAGGTGCCTGTTTTTATTGCAGAAATACATCGCAATTTAAAAATGTATGTCATTAAATCGTAGGATTAATTCAAACTATTTCGGTAGGTATGATTTGTATTTAATTAAATTAAGATTATTATCCAATTGCAGCAATAAATAACTGGGTCTTGCGTTTTTCTATGTGAGAATACATGGTTATGTTACAGTTTATCAGCTGTAATGTCTGAGTTTATATAAATTATTTCATAAAGTGATTTATGAAATTATTTATATGTATAACTATGTCGGAGTGGAAGTAACCTGAAATATGAAAACTCTGTTCGCAGTTGTAGTAAAAAGGGGCTATGGTTTTATTTTTTGTCAATATTTTTTAGATAAATCATTTATAATTAAATAATTGAAGTTCACTGTTTCGAAGTGTCCACACCTTTCTCTAAGTAAATGTATTCTAAGTAAATCGTTAGTGACAAATTAATGTTATACAAAATGAATTAAATAATAAATATGGAGGTGTAACTTGTATGAAAAAATAAGTCTTGAAATGACAATTGGCTACTACAGAAAATAAAATGGCATTTCATGTTAGCAACTACTTTATCTTAGAAAAAATTACCATACTTTTCAAATATTTAGACTGAATTTATATATACAGGTGTTTAAAAAAATGTCCACCATTCAGGTTTCAGCAAAAATTAAAGCGTAACTTATATTTCCTCTATATGTGCACAATTTTTTTGTACCGCCTGCATCTACTTGAGTTGTGTTCAACGCATTGTCGTTTTGATAAAACAAACTGCAAGTAAACAAACAAATCATATTTCAATCTTGTTTATATAAAGTCGAACTATCGAGTATGGAATAACTAGTAAGTTTTACATTTGTTTAAGGTCACATAATGACACTTCAGAAGCTGATAATATACTTGAAAGAAACTTGAAACAGCATTACCCAACGTGTGAACATCCGAATTATTTTGCATATTAATAATATAGTCCACCCAGATGTGCGGTTTTCTATTTCTTACGTACGCATAAAAAAACATCATAAATATGCCATAAACCATAATTTATGTAACCCACGAATTGATGTTTCCAAATAACGGGACGGGCAAATCTGAAAACATGCCATTGATGACACGTCTTTTAGGAAAGTGTCCTTCGAGGTATCGTTTTCACATTCTTTTTTATAGAATTTTAGGCAAACTAATCGCTGATATAATTAAAAATTTAGATTCACCCTACCACGATGAAGATACGACTATAAAAAATCGAATAGATGCCCAGTGTGTATCAAAATCATTTTGTGTAGCTCTATAGTGTATACAAAAATGAAATTTTTGGTGAGTAAAAAGTCTCAGTACTTACATTATTTCAAAAATATCAAGGGGTAATATTCTGATAATAAAACATGGGACCTATACTACTTCTTAGGGGATGATTTTTAAGTTCATATAAAGAATTTTTGTAATGAAAGAAGTTCGAATTAAATTTGCGAAATAATAAATTAAGTTTATTAGGGATTGCTCAGATATCAAAAGGTGTTATACATATATTTGCAAAATATATATTTTTTATAGAGAAATACAAGCATCATTTTTAAATTTTTCTCAAAAGTTTTTTTTTTAAATTACGGCATAATTAAGTTAAACAAATAGAATACTAGCATTAAATGAACATTTGAATGTACTTGTATATAACTACAAAGAGAACTTAATTTTGCGAAAAAAATATATAAATAAATCATTTTAATTTCTTATTTCCCAAATTTTGTTTCAAATTTTTTCTTCGTAAAATTTCTTTTTGTGAACATTTACTTGCCACCACTGAAAATGTCTATAAAATACTAAGTATATGGACAAAGAAACTTGGATAAACAAAACATAAACATTAAAACAATTATATATTTTTCAAAATTTTTATAAACAACCAGCCTAGATCTGAAATGGTTCTTAATGCAGTTGTTCAATTGATTTATTTTTATTTTCATATTTATTTATGTCCCAGTCCACAGTAAAAATAAATAAAAATGATCTAAAACTCTAATAATTTTTTACTAACACTGTTATTTGTCGTTATTAATTTGCATCTAAAAATTTCGTTTGGATGGGTTTGGGTTATTTTTTAATACAATTTGTGTATTTTTTTAATTAAAAAACTCGTTTCAAAATTTTTTTATTTTCTAAAAAATTTTAAAATTAAGTGAAAAATTAGTTATCCTTTTTAGTTATTACTGGAATAAAGTAATTGAACTGATGGTCAATCAAAAAGCAATCAAGAAAATGTTACTTATCTATTGTGTTATTGATTTCTCTTAACTGATTGTGACAATGAGTATATTAAATGTGTTTTGCATTCTCTTTTTAACAAAAGTTACAATATTAACTCAAACAGAAATGTATGTATCTACCTAATAACCAAAATTCCTCACATCTCTCATTTTTGCGAATACATATTAACTTTCACTGAACCAATTTCTCTATTTTACATTTTAAATTAATTCCCCTTAAAATAGTGCAAATATTCTATAAATTTGACATATGTAGTTAGGATTAATAAAATTTACGTACTACTTTTGATTTATTTTATTTCATTGATTTTGGCAATTCATTTTCTGCAAAATTTAAAATTACTAAAACAATAAGATCAGATTACAGATAAAACACAACTTTCTGTTTCACAGGTTGTGGTTAGTGTAATTTTTCAGGAAATTCTATTCTATTCAATCAGCGATCACATTATATCGAGGGTAGATAACGGTTTGTCATTGTTCATTGTAAACGAATCATTAATATCGGTGACGTCAAGATTTAACATAGAATTTGACTAATTATTCTTCTTCCTTCAGGTACTTTTTGTCGCCATCTTGGCAGTAGCCTCAGCCTCCGATGAGCCCGCTCCCCAGAAGACGGTAGTGAAGCGTGGAATCTACGGGGGAGGCATCGGCTACGGCGTAGGATATGGAGGTGGCTACGGCATCGGATACGGGGGTGGATACAGAATAGGATATGGAGGAGGATATGGAGGAGGATATGGTGGAGGATACGGAGGTGGATACGGAGTAGGATACGCCGCCCCAGTTATTGCCGCCCCAGTGATTGCTGCCCCCGTGATTAGAAGCTACGCCGCGCCGGTCATCGTTCGTCCCGCCATCAGGGTAGGATACGGATACGGTGGCGGATATGGAGGCGGATTCGGTGGCGGTTACGGCTACAGCAGAGGATGGTGGTAGAGTTACCATTAGTTGTTTTTATTTTTGTTGAAATATATTTTAGTTTAAAAAAAATCTGTTATGATTCAAATCTGTAGTGTTTTCCTACCCATTCCTGCTGCCTGCATCCTCTTTGTTTCAATAGTTAACACAGAACCATAAATAATAATTCAAAAGGGGTTTTAAGTGAAATTATCGGCAGGAGGAGAATAGTTAGGCCTTTAAGAGGGTATTTTTCTGCCATCCAAAAGTAATGAATTTACTAGTAGTGGTAAACCATAAAACTAGAAAGCTCCTTGACTTGTTCCATCATTGATTCCCAAGTTAGTAATTCACTAATGTAACACACTAATCTTGTTTTAATGTTTTGAGGTATATAACTCTGTAGGTACAGTCGATCGTACACTGTTTTATTGGGAGCGTTCTTTATTCAATGGAACCTGGAACACGATTTGGTAACAAAGATGGACGATCTCTCCGCTCTTTTACAACAAAGGAAGGTAACTAGGTAGAAGACAATATGTTAATTCATTTTTTGTGTAATTATTTCTATTAAATTTTGAAGTTATTTTAAAAAGAAAGAAAAGACTTCTTATATGGCCCCATAAACAAATCTAAGGGAGTTAGGACCAGGAATTGACCCCTAGCGCCCAATCCACAAAAGTTTTGGTTGATGTAGTATTATGTCTGGATAAATGGGGCGCAGCTATCGACAAATAACAAAATAAGCACAAAAGTATTCTTCAACAATTTATTTTGTGAAAAATTGTTAAATGTATTTTTTTTTAATAATAAAAAGCAGCATTTTTATATTCAAGTAATTTTTCACAACCAAGAAGACAAAAGTAGCAACAAAGAGCTCGGTTAAATTAAAAATGTTTTCTACTATTACGAATATACTTTAATACAAAAAACAAAATCAAATAAGAAAACCACAACCACAAAATATTATTCTCTTAAAAAAACTTAAAATTACAGATTGTTCCATGTCTTAGTTATCCTTTGAATAACACACTTCCGTACAAAAAATATTAAATTACGGTAGTACCTACTATTTCAAACAGCAACAAAATGTATTCTTATTCATTACACTAACTTCAAGAAAAAATGTAAGTAGAAAATTGTAAAACCGTTATAGCAAACCATGCTTAATAAGAATAGAGGTTCATTTGAACGAGATTATCTGTAACATTCATTTATTGTATATGTATATCACGGTTTAAAAAAACTTTATGAATATACGAGGTCTATTCAGAAAATAATCGAACATTTTGAATTACGCGATAATGGAAATATTTAGTGATATGCGGTTGGTAGCATTGCGTTGTGCATAACCTCCTCTGGAACCACATGTTCTGGATTGTTGATATAGTCCAGTCGGTATCTGTTACGGGATGGATGTTTTTTTATATAGTAACGCTAATTTTTTATGGGAATAGTTCTAAATATTATGTGGATAATAATTGCGATATGCGCCCGCTGAAAAAGTTGTGCACAACTGTTAGCGCAAGAAAATGTAAAAAAAATTATAGAGGCGCATTTTTCTCCCTTCTTTCATGTATAGCTCGGAGAATATTGACGTTAGAGAAAATAGGCAAAGAAAAAAAAGTTTGGTTTTGAGATTGTCTTCAAAATAAAAGTGGTACGAAATTTTTATTTGCATTAGTGTTGCTGCAATGCAGTATAGGCCGAAAAAGAATTCGTGAAAAAAGATTGTTTTTTCATAAATTTATTTCAGACCTTGATTTTAGAGCAGCCACATAAAAAGTATGGTTTTGAGTGATATGGTAGTATTGCAGAAATTTTTTCATCGAAATCGGCAGTGTATAGATTTCGTATAATTGAATTGTTAATTAAGAAAATACAGTATTATACGTATATTTCAATTCTCTCTCACGGTAAAATCAATTATTATTATGAGCTCCCAATTTTTATACCTACCCTTTGGAGTCTCAACTATCAATCCCCATTTAAAAATTGTCGATTTCATCCATTTTAGCAACAATTAGAATTTTTTCAAAATTTCTTCGAAAAAATACTTATGAACATATAGAGGAAGGATTGACGAACAAAATCCACTTTTGATTTTGTGGATACGATGAATCATCATCGAGATATGAAAGCTCAAAGTTGAAGTGAGTTTATGGCAAAACAAGGTATTGTACAATAACAGTCAAAAGTGATTTTGATTGTTTGACACAAAGGCTTTATAATTATGAAAATTTGTTTAAATCGGAAATGTATTTTATCTGTTCTGATGCAAAAAAGATTGATATATTTCACAGGAATCGAGCAACGTCAAAGAATGAGGAGTGGAGGGACTATGCGAGCGGAGAAGCATAATTCACTCGCGCAACTTCAATCGACTTTTTCTCAGCTTCTACAACAGATAAATAGATGATTTTCTTTTAATTGATAGAAGAAAGCGAGATCTATTTGAATCTTACAATACAAAGCCTCTATTTTTCAAAAATTACATAGTTTTCGTTGATAAATGAACATAACTTCTCAGTCGAAGAAACTTAAATTAGAATAAAACTATTTTTTTATTTGAATAAAATTATAAAAAAACGTTTTCAATTTATGCCAATAAAAAAATTACGATATATTTTAAAATAAAGGCTATCAATAAATTAACTTCTAATCTATTTTAAATACCAATTTGTCCAACATTTTTTTGTATACCAGAAATATTATATTCAAAATAAATGCTACTCTTGAATTGAACAATCGTATTTAAGAATTTATCTCTTCGAAATGGTCGAACATCAAATATTTTGCACTAGCTTATCCTGCTCACCATTCTGTTAAAAGTGAAACCATTTCACAATAACAAATGGTGCCTATAAAAATGTATAATTTAGTTATTCGCCAATTTCTCTAATGTTTACTTCCTTTCATAAATGAATTGTACACTACGCGCACAAGGCAGCTATTGAATTCCAGCGAAAGAAATAGAAAATTTGTGCAATATTGATATAATCATCGACATTATATGTCAACTATACGTAATTATAAAAGTATCTATATTTATTTTGGAACATATAAATATAAAACATACATCGTAATGTCATTAGTATAAAAATTGTGTTCCGCATCGTTTTGCATCGTGTGTGTAAAAATGAGGATTCTTCTTGTAAGTAATAAAAAACATTTTTCTTTAAAAAAAAATGTAAATTTAACTACAAAGCGTGGAAGTAATAATAAACGAATTAAGGAATTATTTATAACAAATTCTTAAAGGATTCTTTTATAATTACTTTTTCGTTCAAACTTTAAAATATAAACACATATTTTATATTTGCTTTTGAATACTTTGAAACTATTGAAAATTGAGCAAAATACCATTGTATCCTAGATAAAACGACTGTAACGTGTTTCCAAAATGTAGGGATTATATACAGGGTGGCCAAATGAAAACGAAACAGAGCAATTTTCAGGAACTGCGTCAAGATTGTAGAAAAACGCTCAAACCCGTTGATTTTAGATTAAAGGGAAAGATTCTTTGCTGGTATTTTTGACTCCGCCAATTTCACCCCCAAGCAAGGGTAAGCATCACCTCAAAATATTTAAATGGCATTGGGGGTTGAGTAATATTTCTTTTGAAAGCTCTTATAGAATTCTCTTTACAACAGACTTTAAATTTTATAATTCCGCCCAATACTTATTAAGAATTTTGATTTTAAAGTTGAAACTTATGTACAAACAATTAGTAACGGTAAAAATGTCTGTCATACGAGTTAAGTACGCCAATGGTATAAATTTAGTCTTTATTTCGTTACATTGGTTTTTGGCGATTTGTTATCACATTCGTAAAAAACAGAAATAAATGCTATACACACAATGAACGTAAAATTAGTGGATTCCAAATTATTTTCTAGTATTATTTGGAATCGTTGGTTGGTACTTGGTAGTTTATTTAATTGTGTTTTTGAAAATTAAACACTACGGTTTATTCCATTGCGGAAAGAGTAGATATCATTTCGCTTTACTTTATGAACAATAAATGTGCGAATAGAACAGCTCAGCTATTTAATGAACAACATCAAGATCGACATGTCAGGAGGAAGTATGTTCTAGAGTTAGTAAAAAAATTTCAAGAGACAGGGAACGTAGCCAATAAAAAACGAGAAATTGAAAAACCTATAGTTAATGAAGCTAGTGAAGTTGCAGTTTTGGGACAAGTTCATCTTGATCCTACATTAAGTACGAGGCAGCTGGCATCTGTGTCTGGGATCAATCGAACTAGCATACAAACCATTTTGAAGAAGAATAAATTCCATCCATACAAAATACATTTAGTCCAGGAACTTCATGAGGATGATTATGACCGCCGTTTGCAATTTTGCGAAATAATGAGTGAGCGAGCAGGGAACGATCCACAGTTCCTTTTTAACATCTGTTTTTCTGATGAATGCAGTTTTTTCTTGAACGGGACGGTAAATCGTCACAATTGCCGCTATTGGTCCGATTCAAATCCAAGAGTTTTTCACGAGGTGCATACACAGCAACCGGAAAAATTAAATGTATGGGCTGAAATTTTCGGTGACCGGCTGGTGGGTCCTTTTTTTCTACCTGGTAATTTGACTGGCGAAATGTATTTGCAATTACTGGAATACACTATTGACCCTGCCTTGATTGATATTATTGAAAATGTTCCAGAGTGTGATGAAGATCATTTGATTTTTCAACAGGACGGTGCTCCTCCGCATTATGCGTTAATTGTCCGTCAGTATTTGGACCAACGACGTTTTCTACGGAATTGGAGTGGGAGAAGATGCAGCGTTGAGTGGCCTCCACGCTCACCGGATTTATCGCCCCTTGATTTTTTTTTGTGGGGATACCTAAAATGTAAAATCTATAAAACACAGCATGCGTCGTTGGAAGATTTGCGTCTAAGAATCGTCGACGAATGCCGTCGAATCACTCCGGAAATGCTTCGGAATGTGCGCGAACGTTTCGAACAAAATCTTTATTCTTGTATGGAAGCGGGCGATCATCAGTTTGAACATTTAATCATGTAAGTAGTAAGTAAACAACTAAACATAACTTAAATTTTAAAA